TACCTAAAATATGAGGACTAGTCCACTGTATCAGCAAAACAATTGCACATGAACTTCTTATTTTTCTGCGTTTTGGATGAAGCTTGACGAAATGTTAATAAACTTTTCAATTTTTAGGAAATCTCATACATTGAGAGCATAGCTGATTCTATAGTTTACACATGCTCGGCTGTCTCAGAAATTATCATTGGAATATAAAATTTTATGCTTATATTTGCTGATGCATTCTAGCAAAAAAAAATGAGAACTCACTGCTGACAAGAAATACTTTGAATTTCGAAAACGATTCAAGCCGTATGCCAAAGCGAATGTGCCGAATGTCAAAAGTACGGATAACATGTAGACATCTGGCTTGAAATGACATTGAAGTCCGACAGCTTCTCCTCCTTTTACCTCACATTCTAAATATGAGCTTAATTGTCGTTAAAGAAAGAAAAAAATTTGGGAGGGAAATGTTTGACCTACCTTCTGCTGTAATATCTTTTAGTCTCATGGTAACAGTTGCATTCTGTGTTGCGTCATATTCATTCACGTGGCAGAAACAGGGAGATTCGTAAACCTCCTGAATTGGTTTGCTGAAGTAACTCGGGGCTACTTACAAGGTTACTTGATTAATAGTTACCCTAGGATCAGCAACAATAGGAGCATCATGTGAAATTTCCATTAACTTCTGAAAAGCTTGAATAATGAAGACGATGGAAATGAGGGTAGCAAATGCTTCTTCGGTGAATCTAAACAGCCAAACATTTGGATTTCACGTACTACAATGAAATGTAAGGAAAGAAGGAGAGTAGAGAGAAAGGAAATTTTGAAATACAAGTGAAAAAGGATAACTTGACTATCACAACAAGATTGGATTTGTTAGTCTACAACTTTTTATAACAAAATTATGAATTTAACCTTCTAGATAAAATAAACGAGGTATACCCAAAGAGCTAGAAGTAAATAATATTGACGTAGATCTCTGTTTTACATGAAAAGCGTTACTAAAAGTCCGATGGTTCCGTACGCATCGTTTTGATTTAACTATTAACTAAATTTTAACCTGATATGACAATAATGC